GGACGGGTCAAAAGTTGACCGGTCACTTCCACTAAAAAAGTGACCGGTCACATTTTGGGCGATAGCGAAAATATCACCTTATTCTACGAAGGACATTCTAGAATACCAAAGAGACGGGTTGAGCGCAAGAAATGACCGGGTAACCTTTCAGAGAAGGTGACCGGTCATATCACTTTACTTGGCTAACATTGGTCCAGTCTCTTAGGCATGGTGAACCACGTCAGAGGTTAAGGGGACACCCCGCCGCTCATCCATCACGAGGCACATAGTGAAAGGGATGTTTGTCATTTTGCAGGGTTGATTGGATTGAGAATATCCATTTTAGTCTTTGATTGAACAGTGCTTTTTGGTTGTATTAGTAGCAAGTCCATGATTGTACAGTGCTTCCATTATCTACAGTGACCTTCCCACGAGCTTCCTATTTTGTCCATGGATGAACAGGGGAAGGTCACAAATCCTCCTCTATAAATATGATGATATTGGATAGAGGAGGGGATCCATTCTTTATCTCACTAAAAAACTAGTACACTCTTGAGACAGAGTAAGAAATATATTTCGGACTGAGGAGATTTACCCGGTCTAGGTCATACTTTGTGTTCTTGTTGTGTGTTTTATATTACGGGTCAAGTGTCCAGGTCAAACCCGGTCAACCCCCCCATCTATATTTTCACCATCAGTTAGTTATAACATTACAGCTCATTTCAAAATATTTATTTTATACTACCGCATAAACTAACGTATACGTGCCTCTAATGTGGTGAAATAAATACAAATTGAGTTGGAAGCCATGCGACCAGCGAAGGAGAGTAGCGAAGAAGAGGGGTAGGGTTTTGTATTATTTAATATTATCTATTTATTTAACCGGTACAAGTTTTAAACATGTCGAGACTACTCGTCCTATACCCGGCCCTTACTTTTTTCAAAATAACGGATACAAGTTTGGGTACGGGTAAACTTTTTTTTATCCTCCTAAACCCGCTAAAAATGGGAGTATTATACGGGTTCGAATCTATACCCGACCCATTGGCAAGCCTACCTAGTGTAATAGTCCTTGCATCCCAATTTACTACTCCCTTCGTCTCAAATAAAATTGCTTGTTTACTAATTCACATAGTCAAACTTCATTTAGGAGCTGTTTGTTTCAGCCTCTTATGGTTCAGATGTCTGAATGGTTCAGCATTTAATGGTTCAGACTGTTTGTTTCAGCCTCTTAATGGTTCAGATGTCTGAATTGTTAAGAGATTTGCCTCTGAATGGTTAAGTATTATACAGAGTCTGAATGGTTAAGACCTCTTATCTGAATTGATCAGACATTTGCCTCTGAATAGTTAAGCAATATACTAGCTTTTAATGGTTCAGACCTCTTACTGGTTCAGGACTTACCCATTCAGAAGTTGCCAAACAACCCCTTACTTTTTTTTTCTTTTTTTGATAGTAATTTGATAAAATAAAATAGTCATGCTACTACTATTTTTGTAAATCTTTTAATGTAGTATTTTAATATGTAATTTTAATTTTTTAGTTCGACACAACTTTTCATATAAATTGATTTAAAAATAATTCCAATCAAATATCGTAAGCTGGAACAGACAATATAAATTAGGACGGAAGGAGTACAGTTGTTTGTTAATTATTTACATGATCAATCTTTAACTATTATTTTTACTTATATTTGTTACTCATTTAATAAAATAGCATTAGATCACCTCTTGATTCATAGAATTTTTGATATAATTTTAAAATATATAATTTTCAATTCTTTTAAATTTCACACCAATTTCAAGATAATTTACATTAAAAATAATTTTAGTCAAATATTATAAACTGAAACGAACGATTTAAATTAGAACAGATTAAATTTTCAGTGCTGGTACTCACAAACTTGACTCACCTCATTGTTGGTTTATCGAGTTTGCATACTTTGAAGCATCCAAATTGTAACAACCAAAATGCTTGTCCAATTGGAAAAATTTTATTACTTGTAGCATTCTCAATATTAAAAACATTAAGCCAAAAAATCATTAACCAAATACTCATATTAGCATTTCGACCCTTTCAATACACTTGCCTCAATCAAAACCGCCAACTTAACAAGAAACATCGGACTTAAATATACTGAGCACAACAGTAGACCGTGAAAACATACAATATAGTATAGGTTATTGCTAAATTCATACCATTTTTGGCTATATCCACTCATTTCTGTTAAAGGGACAAACGAAAGGGCAAAAGTGTCCATTTTTAAAAAATGTAGTGGATTTAGCGAATTAGGGGGTGGATTTAGCATCACCCTATGGTATAAACGAATATGGAAATGGATTCGATAGTTACGATCCACTAATCACGAGTTGTAATTAGAAGTGCACGAGGTGCCTCCCTCGATTGACCTAGCCTTGCACATCTACTCCATTCAAACTATTCCGGGTGAGCTTCGCTTCCGGGTCGGGTTACCCACAACCCATATCACATGGGCTTCCTTCGGTCAACATATCGGGCTTCACATATTGGCCTTAGCTAAATACAATTAACAGAATCCCCAACAAAAGCATATAAGATCCATTCCACTGTCATCATCCCTGCAAAGCATATTTTTAGGCTAAAATATAAACATTGTCTGGTTTAAGGGCATCGAATTGTGTACTACAAACACGCTTTAAGATCCGGATGTGAGCAACACTTGTTTATATCTTAATAGTATTAAAAAATGGCTTATTTAATACTCTCTCCATCTAAAAATACACTTCATGGTTGAACATTAAAGAATTTAAGAAAATTGTTGAAAACTAAAAATGTACAGTTAGAGTCCGGATAGAAGAAAAGGAACTGATTTGGGCCACACATTCCTTTTCTTAGAAGAAAAGAAGGAAGGTTTGACATTTACATTGGGACGGATGAAAATATAAGGTTGAAATTTATTTTAGGAAGAATGAAGTGTAAGATTGTATTTTGAATACAAGCCATTCAATAGTTCAATTTATTTTTTAATACAACATGAAAATCATTCACAAAATCTCCCTCACAAAGGTACAACTTCTAGGTTTTGATAACATACAACTACTAAAACTTGATCCGTGTATTCTAAAATTTTATTTTATGGTTTAACTAAATTAAACACACTCAACTTGTTTGAGACACTTTTATCAGAAATAAGTCAATATAATGAAATTTAGTTTTTTTTTCAATGAGGACTCTTTTCTTTGGGATAAAAATAAATTGTAGGAATTAGACTCTTTTTATGGGATGGATGAAGTGCAGCATAATGTTCTTTTCTTTTTCTAATGTGATGTTTTGTACAGTAATTTTTTTCCAGGTATATGGGGGGGGGGGGGTTGAAAAGACACAATTAAAAAGGGTTAAAATACATTAACTTTTAAATACAACATATAATTATAATTAGTCAGGGATGCCTGCATATTACATTTTAAGCACAAGTGCATATATTGTTGGGACCACGCGTACTTTTACCTCAAACCCCGCATTAGTATGATATTGTCCGTTCTAGGCCAAGCCCATGCGGATTTTTTTAAGCACCCCCAAAAGGTCTCATACTAATGAGTTAGGTGAACCTATATATATTTTGGATCTTTCTCCCTTTCTGTTTATATGTGGGAGTAGTTTGATATCCCAACATAAATTATGTGCTCGTGCCATAACCTAAATCGTCTCATTCTGCTTCTAAGCAAACATGAATCTTATAAAACGACTTTACTTTCACTCAGCATATAATAATCATTTTAGCCAGATAACCCTCACCAGAGGCAATATCTTTCAAAACATTTTTTTAAGAAAATTGGCATCCTATTGTTTAGCCTTTGCAGCACACCTTCAGGGGAATCAGGGCAGGCCCTGGAATCCCTACCATGGCTGCAGTCAGGACCTCCCAAAAATGAGAATTTGGCGTGGTTGAAAAAAATCAATTACGGAGTGTATTAATTTGCTATGGCAAAAAAAAATCCACATGAAAGAAAAGCATTTATCAAAAATGGGGATGGGGCTGAGCCCTTGTCATTTTTATTTATACAAAAAATGGTTGACAGAAGGGACATTAATGAAACAAATTTTAGGATGAATAAATAAAAAAGAATTGCTGGGACCTACAACAAAACACTATGTTTGCAGTGATAAAAGCACTTGTATAATTATAGGATGCACAATCAAAGTGATGCAAGTGAGCTAAAATGCATAAGTGGTGAAGACAAGTCTGAGATGCATACCTTTTCCCATTGAAGTCTTGAATGCCAAACTCTAAAAAATTTCATTTTTAAGAAAATTGCACTAGCTAGCCGGTTGTGGCAGCAGCATTACGACCGAACTGAATAACAATGGGCTTGCCTTTGAACACATATCCGTTGACCAGGTTCTGCAGTAATTATTCTCTATAAGCATTAGGAAGGGTTCAACTCATTATACAAAGATCAGTGTTTTGAAAAGCATTAGACACTAGGTGCCAAATTATCCTATGTGTTTAAGAAGTTATGAAGCCTTTTACCTTTTACCGTTTCCTTTTCAACATAGTATGGACCATCAGTGAACAGCGAAGACTCTAAAGTAGGGCGTTAAAAACTTCAAAATTTTAGGAATTTGCATGGACGGAAATGAAAAGGAAATGCGAGGAAAGAAAAGGAAAGAGAGAAGAAATACAGTGGAAATTGAAGTTGCTTGTTTCAGGGAAATGGGTGAGAAAAGAAAGGAAACTGGTAAAGGAGAAAAAAACATGACTAGCAATGCAAATTGGATTTCCTTCATATGCTTCTTTGTTCATTTCATTTTTGTGGGTTTTCACACATATTAGTGGGCGAAAACGCCTAGGAAGTTGATTGCAGTGTTCAAAATATTCTTTACATAGCACATCTGATTCCCCTCCCTCTTCCCCAATCCCCCACCCGAGTTTGAAACCCCACCAAAAAACCTCAAATTCTTCTGTTCAAAAGAGGACAAATGCCAAGAAAGGTGTCCTTCCTTTCCTTTGCCAGCTTCACAATACATTATACTCCCTATATAGTAAGTAATTGATTCATTTCACAAGAGTTGTTGCACACACCAAAATGTAGGTAGTGTGGTGGCATTCTTCATCAAGTTAATCACAAAGGTAAATGGATAGGAGAATATCAAGAACATCAAATAATACATAACTTAATACATGCAAGGAAAAAACTAAATTTAAATCAGAAGATATACCAAAGCATTCTGAGCTAGTTCAACAGTCGGAAATGTAATAAAAGCTTGACCCCGCATTCTTCCTTCCTGAAGTAAGCATTCAAAATATTGTAAGCATGACAATAAAATGGTCACTCAACTCAGATTCTTAGCCAATTACATGAATCCCCTATTATTTCCTCTGCATATAGTATTTGGCTTATTGAGAACTCTTTTTCTATTATCTTCCTTGAAGAGTTTCACTTTAAGGTTGGTGACTTAGTATAATTAGCTCCATACTTTTACTTCTCCTTTGAAAACCATACTTCATTATACTTTTGAAAGTTTCTCTGCATTTTCTGGATATTAAAGTTTATACAAATCCTTGTGCGCATGTACATGAACTTCATGTTCTTACTTCTGAGACAGGTTCATGCCATTATATATACTCCCTCCGTCCCCCATAGATCTTCCCATTAGCCCTTTTTATTTGTCCCACATAGATCTTCTCATTACCTTTTTTAATAATTAAAATACCACAACTACCCCTACTTACTTTATTTATTACACCTTTTCCACTTTATTTAATACACCCCACCCATTTTCATTAAGGGTATTTTGGTAAACTTTCACCTTTTTTCAACTCTCCTAAAAAACCGTGAAAAGTCAAATTGAGAACATCTTACATGAACGGAGGGAGTATATATATATATATATATATATATATATATATATATATATATGTTGTTGTTGTTGTTGTTGTTTTTGTTGTATATAAAGCTTGTGAGTCAGCTCACAGTTCATTTTGATGGTTTTCTGCAGTCAATTTCCAATTATTTCGTTTACTGGTGAAATTCACTGTCACCAAATGATATATATATATATATATATATATATATATATATATATATATATATATATATATATATATCATTTGGTGACAGTGAATTTCACCAGTAAACGAAATAATTGGAAATTGACTGCAGAAAACCATCAAAATGAACTGTGAGCTGACAAGATTTATATACAACAAGCTTTATGAACTCACAAGCTTTATATACAACAACAACAACAAACTCAGTAAATTGCCAGAATAAGATCTAGGGAGAGAGTTTACGCACACCAAGAGACTATTTCCAGGAGGTCACCAGCTCAAAACAGAAGAAACAAAGGAAAAAGGGTAAAGGAAAAAGAATAACAAAGCTAGGAGCACGAAAGAAGCAAGCGCACATGTAGGTACAACAAAGGCACGTAGTCCTACACAAGGGTAGAGCACCGCCCAAATGCCTACCCTATCTAAGGTCATACCCAGGGTTAGCTCCTAAAGCGATAAGTTACGTGCAATAATGTTTAGAATATGAAGTAAAACATAAGAAGAAAAAAGACTTATCATCAATCAACCAAAGTTTGGATCATATGTGCTTAAAGTACTTTTGTGAAGATCATGTAATAAGACCATACTATGCTAGAAAACGTCCACATCGATAATGTCCAAATTCGACCATACACTGTCCGAATTTCAATCAAGCAAAGTTTGGATCATATGGGCTTAGCGTACTTTTGTGAAGATCTTGTAATAAGACCATACTATGCCTGGAAATATCAACATAAATGGTTTCCAAAATTGACCAAAGCACCTTCAATAGTTCTAAATAGGTCTAAAAAGACCGTACCTTGTTCGGGGTGTCAATCAACCAAAGCTTAAATCGTATGTGCTTAACGCACTTTTGTGAAGATCTTTTTGTAAGACCATACTATGTCCGGAAACCTCCATATCGACAGTGTCAAATATCGATCAAAGCACCTTCAGTAGTCCCAAATAGGTCTAAAAAGACCATACCTTGTCTTGTGTTTCAATCAACCATAGTTTGGATCATATGTGCTTAAAGTACTTTTGTAACGATCTTGTAATAAGATCACACTATGCCTGGAAACCTCCACATCAACAGCGTCAAAAAAGAACAAAGCATGTTCTATAGTTCCTAATGGCTTTAAATAGACCATAAATTGTCTAGGGTGTTAATTAACCAAAGTTCGGATCGTATGTGCTTTACGTACTTTTGTGAGGATCATGTAATAAGGCTATACTATGCTCAGAAATCTCTACATCCACAATGTTCAAAATCGACCAAAGCACCTTCAATAGTTCCTAATAGCTCTAAATAGACCATACATTGTCCGGAGTTTCAATCAACCAAAGTTTGGATCATATGTGCTTAACATACTTTTGTGAAGATCTTGTAATAAGACCATACTATGCCTAGAAACCTCCACATCGACGGTGTCAAAATCCATTGAGAGCAAATATAGATACAACAACCAAGTCTTATCCCACCAAACGACACAAATATAAATCAAACGATGCTATTGCGCCCTATCATGTATCATATCTGCATCAAGATCATTCACGTGTATTGATCCACTCTTCTCACTGAATGCTCTTCTGGTCTTCTCCCCACATGTCCAAACCACATAAGATGGGCTTCCACCATCTTTTCAATAATAGGTGTCATCGAAATATTATTATTTCGGTCACACTAACCCTGTGTTCATGTTCACCCATTCCATACAACATAGCTAGCTTAATCCCAATACGATAAAATTTTCCTTTTAATTTTAAAGGTACCATTTTGCCGCGTATAAAGCCCGAAGCACTCCGCCATTTTGACCAACATGCTTAACTCATGTGGTTTGCATCATCCTCTATTATTCTATTGTCTTGAATGATACACCCAAGATACTTAAATCTCATTGCTTGTGGTATAATATTTTCTCTAACTTTCACCACAATGTTAGTATTTCTCCTTTTGTTGCTAAACTTGCACTCCATATACTCTATTTTGGTGCGAATAAGAAACTCCAAAGCGTGTCTCAATAAATCCAACTTCTCATTTAAATCCTACTGTGATTCACCCACAAGAATGATGTCATCAACAAAAAGCATGCACCATGGTACGGGTTCAAGGATATGCTCCGTAAGCACTCCCAAGACTAGTGGAAAAAGATATGGGCTTAGCAATGACAATTTTACACCGATGGGAAATTCCCCCGTTACCCCATTTTGGCTTCTCACACTCGTGGTAGCACCATCGTGTTGTCCTTAATTGTACAAATATATGCAATCTTCACTCATTTCATCTACAACACCTTCAACAAGACTTCTCTTGGAACCCTTCCATGTGCCTCTTCCAAACCAATAAAAGCCATGTGTAAAATTTCCTCACTTCAATCATTCTCCTGGCATAGAAATTGGGAAGTTATGTCTAGTCTAAAATTTGAATTTTTTGGCAACACTGATACATGTGATCAGTATTAAGATATCGTGCAAGTACTAATAACTACTGCAAGCGGGAGTGAGGTGCCGCTCCTAGCTACCTTAACAAGCAAAACCTATTGGAAGAGTTTGACGTTGAAAACTCATAGTAGGGAACTAAGTACCAGAAGAGTACTTTGAAGTACCATGATTCCGTGAAAGATACTAGGCATAGAAATATTGAAACACAAGAACTTATGCTTGATCAAAAACAGAATATTGCCAAAACTCTTCAATTGAGTTTAAATACTCTTTGGATCTGAAAAGAGATATGAATGAGCTTTAAACTCAAGAATATTTGAGTGTTTGTGAGTATATTTAGGTATACAAAAACATATTGTTACAATAAATCCACATATACTCTGTCGACATACAACTTTGTTCTTGAGAACTGATACATTAATGAATTCAAGTCGTACCGGAAATGCTAAAACAAATGTTAATTCTTATAGTAACACCAAAACAAAAGGATTTAACAAACCAAGCTAACGCTACCTATTTACCAGTACTTAATTATTTGTTTAAAACAAACCTTCTAGTAAGTAATAGTGAAACATACTTTTGATCAATAAATTTATTTTTCATAGTTTCTTTCACATTCATTTATCATTTGTTCAACACATAAATTGGCATTTACTTTGTTCAGACACATAAATTGGCATTTACTTTGTTCAGACACATAAATTGGCATTTACTGATGAAAGCTTCAAGTAATCAATGTAATTCACTAATAATACTACAACAACAAGCTCATAAAACCCTACATACAGTAGGGAGTAGAGGTTGAGCTTAACCCTATGTAGAAAGTAGAGGGGCTGTTTATAAGAAACCCTAGCTTAAAACTAAAGAAACACAAAAAGCCACGTAAAGAAAAAGGGATAAAAAGGAGAGAAGCATGAATGAAGCAACCATACACGTAGATATAATAAACTAAGACGGAAAATCCTACACAAGGCTACAACACTGCCCAAAAACCTACCCTGCCACCTTAATCCTAGACATCGAGATACTTTTATTTTTATCTAAGGTCATATTCTTGATTAGCTTCTGAAATTTTAAGTCATGCCTAATTACCTCTTTCTAACTCTTCTTAGATATTTAGATCTATCTCTATCTCTCTTTAGTCTTTATGTCCCCTACCTCAAGCCTCTCGCACCTCCCCACTCTTGCTGGAGCATTTATACTTCTCCAGAGCACATGCCCAAACCACATCTCTGAAAAGCTTCACGCAGCTTAACCTCCATATAGACCATTAACACCCTTCCCAAAATATCTTCATTACAAACCTTATGCAACCTCATTTGACCACACATCCATCCACACGTCGTCAACTACCACTTGGAGTTTCCGAAAATGTGTGTTCTTTTCATAACCCAACACACCGCTCCATACAACATAGCTAGTGTGACCAGTGTCCCATAAAATTTCTTTTTTTAGTTTTGTTGATATCCTCTTATTGCATAGGACACATGAAGGAAACTTCCACTTCATCCAAGCGACTCCAATACGACGAACAATATCCCAATCAACCTGAATGATGGATCCAAGGTACTAAAACTTGTCCCTTTTATTTAGTGGATGTTTGCCAATCTTCACTTCCACTTCTGACTCCATTAAACCACTGAAATAGCATCCCAATCCCACATACTTGCTCTTAGTACGGCACAATCTAAAACCCTTGATTCCAAAGTTAATCCCTACAACACTACCCAATCGTTGAGAGCTTCACGTGTCTCATCATAACAATGTCATATTGAAAAAGAATGCAGGTACTTTCCATTGGCTATGCCGCACCAAAACATCCACAAATAATGCAAACAAGAACAAATCAAAGGCAGACCCCTAATGTAAACCCATTTCTACCATGGAAGTGATCTAAGTCACCTCCTATCGACCAAAATATATTCCTCACCTCATCATACATGTCCTTGACATCTCGATGTAAGCTACCGGCGTCCCTCTGAACATTGGGAAACTCCATAAGATCTCCCTTAGGACTCTGCCGTATGCCTTTTATAAGTTAGTAAACATTATGTTAGGTCTCTCTTCCTTCTTATCCTTATATTGCACCCTCAACCTCCTTACGAGGTGAATGGCTTATGTGGTTGACTGACCGGGCGTGAATCCAAATTATTTTCAAAAATGATCACCTATTTTCTAAGCCTCATATTTATTATTTGTTCTCAAACCTTGATGGTGTGACTGAGCAATTTGATGCCTCTATAATTATTGCAATTTTGGTCACACCTTTGTCCTTATACAACGAGATCATGACACTCTCCCTCCACTCTCCAAACATCTTACTTGTCTTGAAAATAACATTTAACAAATTGGTGATCCATTAATCCATACCAACCAATCTCTGCCCATGATCTTCTGAAATTCCATAACAATCTCGTCTTGTCCCACCCCCCCCCCCTCCCCCGTCCTGCTAATGGCTTTCACCACTTCTTCACGTAATCATGTCTAATGAGTTGACAGTATAAAAAATCTTGATCTCTAAGACAGACTGCTCCATCTCACCTAGTAGCAGACTCTCATCCCCTCCAACATTTACAAGACTATGAAAGTATGACTGCCATTCATGTCTAACCTCCACTGCATCCATCAAAACCATGCCATTTCCACCTTTAATACACCTCGCATGGTAGAGATCTCGAACCTTCCTCTCTTNCCTGCTAATGGCTTTCACCACTTCTTCACGTAATCATGTCTAATGAGTTGACAGTATAAAAAATCTTGATCTCTAAGACAGACTGCTCCATCTCACCTAGTAGCAGACTCTCATCCCCCCCAACATTTACAAGACTATGAAAGTATGACTGCCATTCATGTCTAACCTCCACTCAATCCATCAAAACCATGCCATTTCCACCTTTCATACACCTCGCATGGTAGAGATCTCGAACCTTCCTCTCTTGCACCTCAACCAACCAAAACAATCTCATCTGTCCTCTATTTCTCTCAAGTCATTATACAACCGTTCAACTGTTGCATTTTCTGCAGCAAAAACCTTCTTCAATCTTATACTTTGCTCAGACCGACCTCTTATCCTCCTCATCACTACTCTCCATGAACTTCTTATAAGCCACATTCTTGGCTTCAACTTTTCCTTACACTTCACTATTCCATCACAGTCCCCTCTATATCGGTTTGCATTGCCCCTAGCCAATGTTAATACTTCTCGAACAACTTTTCTAATGCAGTATATTATTCACTTATGATGATGAAATAATTTAAAAATTACATTGCCTAGCCAATGGACAAGATTAACCCCTAAAAATATAATAAATGACTGGTCTAGAGCAAAGGACATCTCTACAAATTAGTAACAGATTCAAAAGCATCAACCCATTTTCTAAATACATAATGTTTTTTAGTACTATTGACTCGATTAAAAGTAATATCTTTTCATACTATTCTCAATCTAATAACGCACAATGAGCCAATGCCTCCACCTCTGCTGGGGCTCGAACATGGGTGAACTTCCCCATGAATCTTGGAGAGTAGGCTTCCTACCACTCAAGCCAAGGGGCAAGTTCAAGCATCAACCCATTTTTCCAACATACAAGCCCAACTTAGAAGCACAGCATAGGGGTATATTTCAGCAAATTATATCGTGTAACCACCATAGGATGTGGACGGTGCTCCTATGTGTGCGATGACTTTTTATTTTTATATTACCGTGATATGCATAAGTGTTCTCATTTAAAACACAAAGGGTACTGATGATCGAGCGGTTGAGTGCGTGTGTCGATGTTGGTATAAGGAAAGTTTGATTTTCATCAAAAAGAAATTTATATTAACTATTTTTCATTTATTTACACCAAATACTCAGTCAATGTAGCTAACAATGGTGTAAATGATACTGCACTTAGTGTAAACCCTCAACTGGTGTAAATGAAGCATGGACACTCATGTAATTACATTTGCAATTAGTGTAAATGTTCAAATCAGTGTAAATATAGCATGAATATATTTAGATAACATAGCTGTAAATACAACAATAAAAATTGTAGAGTAAATACTAGTGAAATTAGCATACATGTACTACACTTGGTGTAAATAAACATTAAGAGTTAAAAGTATATTGATGTTCAATTATGCAATCTCTTGTTACTACCACAAGCGTGTGACCATTGAGCTATAACTACTATCACTAAGTAATTGTGTGTTGCATGTGTGTGTGTCTCTATATATATATATATATATATATATATATATATATATATATATATATATATATATGTATGTATGTATGTATGTATGTATGTATGTATGTATATATATATATATATATATATATACTCCCTCTGTCCACAAAAATACTTCTCACTTTCCTTTTTCGTCCGTCCACAAATAAACTTCCCGTTTCCTTTTTTGGAAACTTTTTTATACAAAAAAGTCTTAATTATCTCCACCCATCCACTCTCTTTTCTTTTTTCTTCTTCCTCTCTCTCGATCCACATCCCTGATCCCACCCATTCTTCTTTCTCCTTTTCTTCTCTCTTTTTTTCTTTTCTTCATCTCCCCTTTGATTCACCCACTCCCTCTTCATTTTTTTTCTTTCTTTCTTTCTCTATTCTTCTAATTCGTTTGTTTCTTCTCTTCTTCGTTCTTTTCTTCTTCTTTCTTTTCTTCTTCTTCATCTTCTTTCATTTTTTCCCTCCCCTCTCAGAAATTGCCCCGTCACCCAGTGATTGGGAGCAGCGGAGCAGCAAGGCGGTGGTCGGAGTTGACACGGTGGTCAGATCTACTCCTCTTCCGGCATAGCTGCCATCAATTCCATAGATCTACAAAGCATCTGTTACTTCTAGCCTCGCTTCTCGCCGTCAAAACCTCGGATGCAAGAGATTCATCCTTTTCTGGGTTGTCTTCAACAAGAAGATACAAAACAGATCTAGAATAGATCTACGACAAAAATAAGAACCAGAGAAGTCATCCGGTGGTGCCGGAGAGTCGGCGGCAACGGTGCTGGAGAGTTGTCCGCGGTGCCGGAGAATTGCCGGCGTGATGTTAGCAAGGGCAGGTGGCTAACTGATCGATTGAGAGATGTAGAGGTGCAGGGGTGTAATAAGAAAGTCAAAGAAATTTTTATCACTCATTAATGTGTGCCCGGTCAAAGCGGGAAGTTTATTTATGGTCGGAGAGAGTAATATATATGTGTGTGTGTGTGCGCGCGCGTAATCTTGAGGTTCAAACATGCAATCTCTTGTATATTAACACAAGCGTGTGACCACGAAACTATAACTATAACTACTATCAATAACTAATTGTGTGTGTTGCAGACACACACACGCACACACATATAGTGGTGCACCTGTTCCATGATATAAGCATTGGTATAGGTCAGGTCTACCTAGCCCGACATATGCCTCGTCGTCCTCCGCCTTAATAGAAGATGTTTGAGGAATGTCCTCCCATGTTCAACCATTAGGTATATCACAAAATCCTTACACTACCAGTTGTGTAAGGGTGGTGGAGGGGGGGTCTTTAACACTAAAAAATACTACTCCATCACCCCCTTTTTTATCTTCCACTTTCCCTTTAGGGAAAAAACTATTTGGCCCATATTCATTTTTTTGTTAATAAATAAATCTCAACCACACTATTTCATTTTCTCAAAATCCTCGCAAAATGGTAAATGGGAACATAAATTAAGAATTGTGGGAGTACTACTTAGCATCAGAACCTCAATGTCCCCCTAAAAGTATGCTCCAAGCTGTCAATACAAGTTCAACTGCATGTTTATCATTGTTGTGTTGCATATTTTACTCATTGCTAACTGTTTACTCATTCAACCCCTCAATCTCTTCCTAACCATCAATTTCAAGAAGGCAGACAACCTTCACCATTCCAAGTGATAGTCCTTTGAAGTATCATGTTAGATATGATTAAGAAATATAGGTGTGCAAAAGTCTGACTTCCAATTATGAAGATAATGACTTTGAAATAAGGATAAATATCGCACCTGCATTAACTTCACAGTCAGATTGGATCTAGCAGCATCAATACTTCCAAAGAAAGATCCTGTGGATCGTTAAACACATAATCAGCTGGAAGAAGTGAAAGGATATCTATCACAGTAGCACACATCAAATTGTGTGCATAAAAAATAACTATAACATAAAATCATAAGTCTAAAGTCTACACCCCAACCCCCAATTTCTCATAACTCATAAGTATCTTGTGTGGTTAAAGACTTAAAGCTAACAAGCAAAACAAAAATTCAAGCCTTAGAATGAGATAGAACATAGTCACTTACCAAAAATGAAGTAGAAGTCATCAGGAATGACATCTCTTGACAAATTTTTTATGTACAGCACACAAGAAGGATTCCCGACAGAATAATTCTGTGCAAAGCATGCAGAAATAAGCTATTAAGTCAATTCATGCGGAAATGCATCTCAAAAGCTACTTTGATTATTTATATGTTATGGAAAATGATGGAGAAGCAGAACTTCCTACCTTGAACACTGGAAGCGACAAAATTTCTTCAGGAACTAATTTCCCACTCTTCAATTCTTCAATAGTCAGAACAGCCTTATTATCTAAAGTCAATTCATCTTCCCTATGCACCTCACTTATACTATCATCATTTATCAGTTCAGAATGAACCTGTTTAGGTGCTATTTTGATCTGCAAACACATAAAAACTAATTACCACCATGTTAAAAATGGAAGATAGAGTTGATCTTAAAACCCATCACGAGACCTGCAATACAGGGTTCTTCTTTTTGACTATTGGCATTTCTTTTGGAAGCAAAACTGCAGGTTTCAATCCAACAGCCTCATGAGCCACGCCCTTGTTCACAGCAGGACCTACAATAGCTTCTCGCTTCATCCGCTTTCTTTTTATGCCACCAACACGTGGAGTTTCCTGAAATATAAAATTCACAAAAGCATCATAATTTGTCAGCTTCTATTAAATTAATTGTCAGCGGGTTTCTAATTCCCATTGGGCCACCCGTGTTGGGTTGTCCCAACATCTCTTAGATGACATCATATGATGACGTAGCTAGTTCCACATGTACGACAATGTAAAGGTATGAAAATTATACAAACTCTAACAACCCGTTCGTATTTCCCTGCTACAATTAAAGTAAAATAGTAAAATACATGATTACATGGAAAATGTTCTTCTATGAAATTAGTTTCCTGAAATAAAATGTTGTTTTGGAATCACTACGAAAATGTATAATAAAATTTCAAGGTAAATCGTTTTAAATGATTTGGTTAGTTAAAGAATCATGGAAACTTGAAAATCAGGTTCGGTACTTAAAAACTGTCCAACCAGAAGATTCTATAGCCATGGAGAAGAGGAATCAAAATGACACTCGCTCGCATTTAAACTATTTTCCCTCCCAAGTCCCACCAAATATTTTTTATTCATAATACTGATAATACTCCTTGTCTCTAATGGAGAAACTTGCCTAACACAGGACAATAATTTCATCTTCTACTTCACAAAAAACAAACAATGGCTCCCTAACTTATTTTAAACAGGGTGCCCTAGGTGTCATTGCAAACATATAAAGCATTAAATACTCTAACTAATGCTCATGTAGGTGTCATTGCAAACATATAAAGCATGAATTACTCTAATAGATGTCCACCTCATCTGAAGACTCCATTTCTGATTCACTGCTCAGCAAACTGTCTGCTCTAGTTCCGGTATCTGTTGGAGGAGGCGGTGGAGGAGGTTGAGGGGTGAAAGATGGTGGGGTTGGCAAAGGTGGAGTGGGCAATGCAGTCCGGAATGGAGCTGGGATATTCATCTTGTTCATCAAGTGTAAGACCTGCAATTTATGTTTAATAGATTTTTTTAACGAAGTAAAATAAACTAGACAGAACAGATAGAATTGGTTAACTTCACTAGCCATGTTACATAAAACACGAACACAATAATGGAGAAAAACACCAACTGGCCATGCTGAGGAGGAAAAAATCACAATAAAGCAGAAAAGCTAAAATAGGAAACTAGTGCTACCTGTGTGTGATATGCATATCTGTTTCCAAACAGGTTAGTCAGTAATATGTAGACACCACTAACAAGTAGAGAGAACTTGTGACACTTCACATTAATGAGAAGATGTTCTTTCTTAGTGAAAAGTAAGTCAAGATACTATAGTAAAGTGAAATGATGACAAATATGAGCATCTAGGTGTCACACACTCACTGAAGTAAATCACAATAATTGGTGGAAAGTGTGCTTACTCAAGATGGGGAGGAAATGGATAGTCCACTCCAAGTCTTTCGGCAATAGGTTCATTGCGGCGATAAGAGAGTGAGCTTCCATCAAGATCTTTGTATGAAGCACTATCTTTGATTAAAGTGATTGAGTCCTTTCCAGTCCCAGGTGCACTGGGTGGAAGCTTGTCAGCCTCACTTTGTTTATTAGCTCTTTCAACAGATAATATCTTACCCAGAAGCCGTAGGCTGATAGAAGTAAACATACTCAAGGTAATGCGGACTCAAACTCCAACAAAAAATAGAAAATAAATAAATAAATAAATTTAATTACCCATTCAACTGTCTTTGTGCTTGAAATGCCAATGCTTCATCCTTGAAATCTACAAATGCACAATTTTTTACACTGGAGATGCCACATGCAGGTCAGGGTAAGTAATCCATATCCAACTCATAAGGCTTCTAAACACCCACTATAACATTACTCAAACTGAAAGCTCTCTAAAGAATTTGGATGAATTAACCCATTATTCAAAGATGCAGAAATTCTACAAGAATACTATAGTGAATTATGGAGCGACTGATTTCCCGTTAGCAAGCATTTAAGTTTTCTTTAGTGTAAAATGAGTGTGTAGAGTGAGCACAAATTTTTTGTTTACTGAGCACACAACTTTCATTTCGCGAGCAATTTCTTGATCAATAGTGAGCATATTATGCTTGAGGAATGATTGCACAATCTTCATGTACCGGTTGTACAATAACTCCTCCAGAAGTTATGAGTTACTAGAAAAGAATATTGATTAAACAACTTTATGCATTCCGTCTAATTGGAAAGGAAAACACCAGAAGAATCAGTATCAGTGTCCTAAGGTCGAATAGAGTGCCCTCACCTTCCATGAGTACATGGCCGGACGGAGGATGCCCCGTAGTGAGAAAAGAGTCTAGAGAAGGTTTCAGGCGGGATAGCTTCCGGGAGATGCCGAATCAATATCGTAGCCGACGCTTCCTCGGAACTCATTTCTCCCGTATTTGCCCCTTACAATAACTCAACCAAAATAAGATTTTTATTAAACTACCTATGAAAAGTTTTCTCTCCAAGGAGAAGAGCGGAGAGAGGAGAGACGCGACTGAGAGCTAGCGATTCCAGCCTGCTCTTTTCTTCGACGGACGAGTCGCAGCAGCGAGCACCGTCAGATACATCGCGGCGAGGAGGAAGATTGATTTACAGTTCTCTTCTTCGACAGAGAGAGCGATACAGCAGCAGAGAGGGAAGAGACGCGACCTCCGGCGTGTTCCGTCGACTCTCAGGCCACGCACGGCACTAAAATTGGTTCGATATTGGGTGGAGCAGCGCACGAACTCAGCTGTGAAGCGCCTACTGTTTTTCCTATTCTCATGGCTTGTCAATTAGGTTGATGTCATTCCTAAATGGGTTTAAATGGGTAAGGAGCCACAGAGGAGAGGAGTAAAACAATGATAACAGCTTAAAATAAGTCTGGAAAGATTAAATCCCACCAATAGGAGTCGCCTTTAGCAACCATAGCCTGCTTGTCATTAGCAACTATCCGTCAAAACTTTCCAATTACCAGTAAAATAATAATAAGCTTCTTCGATTAGAGCGCTGAGATTCGCTTGCTTTCTAATTCATCCGCTTCTTACTTAGTCGAAGAAGATGACGGACAATGAAGACACTCGATCGGATGAAATTGCTGACGAAGATAAGTGAACTGCGACAAAGAAAATGGCAAAGCGATAGAAGGTGATGAATTGAGTTTCCGAATCTGAGTTTTCGTTGTTGTTCAATTGCGTTTTTCCAATAGTTTATATGGTGATATTTTGAGAGATTGCGTTGTGAATTTTCGTTGTTCAATTGCATTTTTCCAGAAGTTGTATGGTCATGTTGTTAGAGGTTGCATTGTGACTTATCGTTGTTCAATTGTGTTTTTCCAGTAGCTTATATTGTTATGTTGTTAGAGATTGCATTATGACTTATTGTTGTTGTTCAATTGCGTTTTTCCATAGTTGTATGGTCATGTTGTTAGAGATTGCATTGTGACTTGTTGTTGTTGTTCAAATGCATTTTTCTAGTAGATCTATGGTCATGTTGTGAGGGATTGCATTGTGACCTATCGTTGTTGTTCAAGTGTGTTTTTCTAGTAGATCTATGGTTCATGTTGTTAGAGATTGCATTATGACTTATAGTTGTTGTTCAATTGTGTTTTTCCAATAGATCTATGGTCATGCTATTAGAGATTGCATTGTGACTTATCGTTGTTGTTCAATTGTGTTTTTCCAGTAGATGTATGATTTATGTTATGAGGAATTGCATTGTGACTTATCGTTGTTGTTCAATTGTGTTTTCTAGAAGTTATATGGTCATGTTGTTAGAGGTTGCATTGTGACTTATCGTTGTTTTAAACAATCTTTTAATATACAAGTATCACGTAAATTTGTGAAGAAAGGTGATGGAGCACAGCCTAAAGATGGAAGAATAAACATTTATTGTAATGTGCTCGAGACAATACGTAGAATTAAAGGCTTGTTGAGAAAGGAGGAGCTTGAAGTGTTTAGAGGCACAATTTTTGGAAAATTGTTGGATGTTCCTGAAGTTAGATGTATTAGTATTGGGATGTTGGTTGGTCTGTTAGAAATGTATAAGTTGCCAAAGCAAGGAATAACTGAATTTAAAGAAATGAAGTTCAAAATAAAGGGGAGAAAAGTCTTGTTCACAAAGTCAGAATTTGAACTTATCACGGGACTGGGAAGCAGAGGGAATAGAATACGTTTGAATAAGGAAAGGTTGGGTGGCTTTGGGTTAAGGTATTTCAATACGGGAAAATCTGTTCAGCGATGTCATATTATGGATGCACTATTGTGGCACAACAGAGATGACCCTGAAGTAGAAAGTGACAATATAGCGAAGCTAGCATTACTGCATCTGTTAGGCAATGTTATGTTTGGGCACCAGTCATGTGTTACTTTTCCTATTGGATACATTAACTTAGTGGATGATTTGGATGTACTCAATGAATTCTCATGGGGTGAAGACATATGGAAAGAGTTGTTAACACATGTTGGGAGATGTGCACAATGCCTTAAAAGTCGTGAAGGGGAAAAGTGACGTTTGGAGGGTTTGTCTTTGCCTTACAGGTATGGCCATTTGAGAAATTTCATTCCCTGAGAGAGTCATTGCATTGTGAAATTGTAAAAGGAAGGGAGGGAGATATATGTAAAGATTTCAGGACAGTTTCTTCATGAAGCTATATTTGAAAATCCAAAGGTTAGTATTTTATAGTATTCTCTTTTTATGAGAATATGTAGTAAATCTGAATTATGTTAATATTTTTTTATTATTTTGCACAGTTTGAAGTGTTAGATATTGTTCCAAGTGAGAAAGAGTTAAATGATCCTTCTTTGGCGTTATCTGCCAATGAATACATAGCAAGGGGATAGGTGACACTGTGCAACATATTGAGAGCTCGGAAGAGGGTGCAACTCTAGCAAGAAATCTGAGAGTTGGTAGTGCTAAGAAAAGGAAACAATCAACCATTGGAAATGTAACGCCCCGAAACTCGGCCTATCAAAATTAATTAATTAAAAATAATTAATTAATTACTGAGACAGACTCGGTGGAAATTATAAATATTCTTCGTTTGACATAAAGGTTTATACCATTGTGTAGGGTTCGATGGATCAAATCTAACGGTGAAATCGGAATTGGATTTGGAACCCGTGGGCCCAGAAAGTGCATTTGGGCCAGGTACGTTCAGTTAATACGGAGCCCAAAACCCCAAAAGTATAAATAAAGGCTTTACATGCCTAAAATCCCTACACGCCTCCCATAATATTACGTAACATCTCTATCTCTCGCGTCTCTCTCCCGATTGGAACACAGCAGCGGCGCACGAGGAAGAAGGAAGAAGAAGAAGAAGAAAAAGAAGAGGAAGGAAGAAGAAGGAAAGAGGAAGAGTTCGACGCCATCGTTCGTTGGTATTATCTCGTAGCTTTTAATCGTCGAATTCGAGGTGAGTACGTGGACATCTAACGTATGCTTATAGTCGTAGATTTGAATCTTACGCTCGTAAAATCGTTACGATTGATCCAGTTCAATATACGTGAAATATGCCTTGTGTGTCGTTTATGTCTCGAGAAGCATGATTTGATTTAGAATCGCTAAGAATTGTTAGTTAATGTTTGAATAATGATTTAGAACTTGTTTAAGCTTGTCTTTTCTAAAATTGATGTGGTTTAAGGGGTTAAGACGGAGCTGGTGCAAATCTGGTGTTTGCCGCGACAAACAGTAGGTAGGTACCGTTGACACGGTATATTCCCCGTTTTCACCTCTCTCTGCCGGTACCTGTCACCAAATGGTACCTAGGTACCGGATGGGCGGTAGGCCCTACTGCCAGGTCGGTAGAGGCTACCGTGACAGCCTACTGGTGGGGTACTCCAGCTGACACGGACGGTACCCACGTACCGTGGGGACGGTACCCTGGTACCGTGAGGTCGGTAGACCCTACCGCCAAGGGTACCGTGAGGTACCTAAACTAGTCTGAATTTGTTGTTTGCGTCGAGGATCGATTCTGAGACTTTGTGAGTTGCATGACGATAAACATGAGTTTCAATACCTAGAGTTAGGCCGCTGTTTGAGTATGTTGGATGTGATGAATTATGTTGTATGATGCATGCACATGTATGTTATGAATTATTGATAATTAAAGGATGAAATACCTAGAACGAACTCTAGGAGCTGACCTGAATGGATTAGTGGCAAGTTATGCCATAAGTTAGTAAGTTAGAGTCATGTGGTACCTGCTGGGTCCAATGGTTGTCCGGGTTAAAACGTGTACACGGAGATCTAAGAACTGTCGTTCCGAAGGGAACAGGGATCTCACCCACCTAAGAGGAACTCTCGAGTTGGTTTGAGCTTGACCTTCATTCCGAAGGGGAAGGTCATGACTCCCATAGGCCAGTCGTATACAATTAAGCTTTAACACAGTATAGGTTAGAAGCCAAGTACAAAAAGAAAGTAAAGTAAACAAGAGGAATGAGTCTGTTATTATATCCTGAATATTGTATCTCTTGAATGATGTTATTACTGTTATACATGATATATCCTATCTGTTGATATGATTGTGTTGAGCATGTTGTGTGCATGATATCGTATGAAGATATGTGCTAGTGGGATCATCTATGGGTATAGTTGTTTGTTAGATATTTTTCACTTAGCTTCAATACTGAGCGTGTAGCCCTTTTTCCTATTTGCTACACGTAGGTAATCCAGAAAATGATGAACTTAGAGCCAATCCCAGAGGGCGATGAGGAGGCTGAGATGTGTGTTGCAGTGTTCGAAGACTTTGAGCTCTTATTTATTACTTAACAAACTTATTACTATTTCGAGCATGATTCCCAAGTTGTGTTTTGAATTATGAATTAAGCTTCCACAACCGTTTTGATTATTGCTCCGATGGATATTGAATTATGTTTTGAAATGTTATTTAAATTGTTTTGAAAAGCTAAATTGTGTTTGGATACCAATTTAATAACAACCCGGTTCGCTGATCCGAGTATTCGGGTTATGCATGCAGGTTGGGGTGTTACAGGAAATGCCCAAAACAAGCCAAACGAAAAGAGAAAGAGAATTAGTTACTGCATGAAGGGGGAATTGCTGCAAAAGAGAAAAATCTAAGAGTAATAGAAAGAGTCAGAGTAAGATTATAACAATTCTCATTGACATGAAAAAATGCAGGAAAGCCAAGGCAAAGGTGCTAAAGACGATCCTTAAGGAGTAAGAAGGACAAAAGGGAGATGATATAGAGGAGAAGGGTTTTAAAAAGATAGATGAGGAAAATGTCAATGAAAATGAAAATGTTGAAAGTGAAGCTAATACATGTAAAATAAAAACATGGGGAAGGATACTAGTTTGGAACACGATGACACTGATCATGAAG